TGTTGACTCCCGGATTAATTTTACTACCCCCATGGTTTGATTCATAGGGGGGTGTCCCCTTTCAGCGGAGTTCATGACTTCCCTGTGAATAGGATGATAGGCGTCCTTTTGGAGATGGCCTGGAAAAAACACGGAGAAAAAAAAAGAAACAAAACAAGGTCCGCCGAGTTTCGCCTGGCATTTACGTGGCCTGGCAAGTGCCTGGGTGGTTTTACTGCCATTCCAATCTCGCGGATAGATATATATATATATACATATATAGATATGTGTGTGTGTGTGTTAATCAAACGTGCTATGATTGCTAGCGTTATTACCAACATTAAATCACTTCTATTCTTCGTCTTATTCTGTTGGCCAGCTAAAAAGGACGGGACCCCTGCTTGTTCATGCAACTGGGTTGTCGTCTGGACAAAGCCGAAAGGAAAAATGAGGAATCCACAGGCACCCAGCGAGTGCAAGTGATTGGAATAGGTATCGAAACACACGGCAGGACGCAACTGTTTATGGTCTCGAAAGGTAATTGCCACTGATTTTCAGGTCCTTGGTTTGCAAAGTGAGTCAAGCATGGTGAAACAGGGTATTTGGGAAGTCGACTTTCACAGGCCCTCCAAACAAGCTAACTTGAATTTTCCAGGACAAATTGGAAGAGACGTTTAAAGAGGACAGGGCTCGGTCGGGGATTTTCCTCTGCAGAAAATACCAGCAGGTTCCACATGTTCTACTTTGCACCCAGTTGAGCGGGGGATCCTTGCAGCATGCACAAAAAAGTCTGACAAAGTCCGACAAACCCACAGCCGGGCATGCAGCCAGTTGAGGGCCGTCGCGGGAAAACGGGCGTCGGGAAAAAGCAAGATGCTACATATCAATCCTCCACGCCTGTTACGCCCAGGGTCAAAAGGATCTAGGTCTCCTTTTGGATGAGATGGTATTTTTACAAATGACCCCCCCAAAAAAATAAACAAAACAAATGACACCAATGTTTAACCAAACTCTTGACTTTTGTACTCGGAGCTTTTCTCCTATAATCATACACATACCCTGCAGCCAAATGCTATTTTTTTGGGCCCAACCGCATGACATCGCCCAGTGGTGGTAGCTCATGAAAGCAGCAAGGCTCCATTGAGGTGGGTTTCAAAAGCTGGGAATCTATATGCACTCCTCACTTCCAAAGCGGATTGGCCAACAAAAAGTCTGAATTGTGTTTTTACCACATTTAACGGTGACCCAAACAGTGGCTCAGGAAGTGAAACCCGCCATGGCAGTTACACAGTGGTCTCAATCTCCCTTGAGGCAAATCGGGGGCGATGGAAGCGCAGGTTTGACCAATGGGAGGGTGCCCCCTTTTGCGGAAATCCTGTGGTGGACATATAGGTCGATCTTTTGGTTTGTGTTAAATTGGATACAACCAAAAAAGAAAAAAACAAAAGCAAACACACACACACACACAATGTTTGGTCCCCTAAAAAAAGACACCTCCATATCCGATTACTCTCACCGGGTTGTTGAATTTGTGGTCGACCTTGGATTTTTCTCTTTTGTCTCTCTCTGAGGGTCCGCGTCGACGTGTCAACGCGTTTGGACTCGCCCGCCTTATGCAGGGCATGGGGCACCGAATTGCCCTCGCTGCCGAGCTCTCCTAGCTCCGTAGTTAGCCAGAACACGCCTCGGGGCAGGGGTACGTCAGTGGTTGGTACGCATGGCTTGCTGGTTCTCAGCCATTAGGAAATCAACCGGGGTTTTGGGGAATGAACCAATGGAACTGGTTCATAGGGGTCATTCCCTACATTCCCTAAGAACCTAGAAACAGCAAGTTGGGTAAACCCATCTGGGAGCCTTGCGACCAAGGCAAGTGGGGCAGAACCATGCTTATCAGCCACTTAGAAGGAATCCCCTTCAACTTGTAACTAGGTCCTGCAGTAGAGAGGTTAGAATAAGATAGAATAAGGGTACTCTTTTTTCGGTAGTCTATTTTAGGGGAACCCTTCCCCCCAAAAAAGGAAAAGGGCACTGCAGTGTATGCGGGGTGCCCTCCAAAGGTGCGGCACGAAAACTTGCGTGCGGTCGATTTAGGCGCGCAAATGGGCTTCCTTACCACCAGCCTGGCCAACCCCCATCAAGCACAATATTCGTGAGTTTGGCGTTTCCCTTCGCAACTGAGGTTGTCCTGTTTGAGGCGGCCCAAAGAATGGTGTTCTTCCTTGTGGTTTGCTTCACAACCACCAACAAGTCTAGGGGTAACTTCCCCATTCTTTCCAGGGATCCTTCTTTCTAGAAAACCACCAAAAACCGAAGGGAAATGGCTGGCTTTTGAAAAGAACGATGGCTGAAAAGAATGGACAAGGAATTAACCCCTAGAACAAGAGTTACTACCTCAAAAAAATGCACCCCCAAGTGGGGAACATCAAAAGCAACCATCACCTGCTCGGGTTTTTGTCGCTGAGACAGGGGCCCAGCGCCATCATCATGCCCAGGTAGGGTGGCAAGCCCGTGACCGTCTTCACCTAAGGTGACAACCCAAACCTGAAGCAAAGCAGCCCCTGCTGCGGTGTCCGTGGAAAAAGGGGCATGCTTGTTGGTAAGTTGGGTTCAAAGGGGAACCCTTCCCACAAAAGGAAAACATGAAAAAAGGAAGAAAAAAAAAAAGGAGCTACTGGGCAACTGGGTGTTTTGCGAAACGCAACCGGTTTTTCTACAGCCATGGTTTTCCTCTTGATCAATGGATCTTGGCACAAAAACCGGTTGGGAGTCCAAGAAAAACAGGGCCCAACCTCAGGCGCATTGAACTGGCACTCATCAAAGGGAGGTGCCGATTTGTGGCTAGGACTGTCCCATATCATATGGATTTTCGCTCAAACTGCCTCGTGTAAAGTTTGAAACAAGCTCTGCGGGACTGCCGCCAAAGTGGACAAACCATGTTTATGACTTTGTCGCTTTCAAGGGGCATCGTGAAAGTGGCCCGAAAAACACATGTTCCCAACCATGAGCCACACTAAGCAAAAACGTTAGGGGGATCCCTGAAGACGTCTAAGACACGTCGATCACTCCAAAGCTGATCACCTTCACTGATTGAGCTGCACGAAATTGACCCCAAGCTTTGAAGCAGGGGGGCATGGCAGCTGTGAATTCTTGATTTGCTTTCACACATGCGTGTTTGACAATGCTCAGTACCCCTTGCAAACATGTTTATGCTCCTGTTTTGCCGCACCTGCAGTCGCCACTGCAATGCAACATGCAGGCGAACTCTAACTCCACCAGAGTGCCGGGTCGGCTGGGTCGATGGCCCTAACCCTGTGGCAGAGCTGACCCAGCGCGGTGAAACCAGAAAGATGAGGGGCTAAACTAATACTCGCATTTGGTTTCTATACAATAGATTCTTTCCTATTCTTTCATCATGCCACTTAATTTGGTTTCCACTTATCCCGCACCCCCATTTTACGTAAATTGTCTGGGCCCCGCAACTTGGCGAGAACATCGGCAGTGGCGCTTTTTCCCCAACACAAATCCCCCAATGCCTGCGCTTCCGCAATGCTTCAAGAGGAAATGCAGGAACACTGCCAATTGGACTCCAAAAAAATGACCCAAAGGCTTAATCTCCAGCTCTTGGCTTTTCTTGCCAAACAATTAAGAGGATTGGAAGTGCTCGAGACCCAGAAAACAATTGGTCCTAAGAAGGCGACTATTGAAACCAAGCTTGATGTTGAAACTTCGACTTTGTCGTCCCTCTGGCTTTCCTTCAAAGCATGGACGGAAGCCTGACTGGACCAAAACCACTGGCCAGCTGGTCTAGGCGTGAGCAAGCGGCTACGGGCACAGTGAGGATGCAGAACATGCCCGCGGCCAAGATGATGGAGCCATTCCTGTGGATTGCCGCGATATTCTTTGAGATGGTCCTAGCATACCACACCAGGGGGGGGGGGTTGGTGGTTTTGGGATAGTAAAGTTCGATCCTTCATTGGGCCTTGAGGTTCTGGATTCTCAATTTTGCTTACATGGTTGGTTGGGTTTCCATGTGGGTTTGCGGGGGGGTATGCATCAAAGGCTTGCATCATAAATTTGATATGTCTCTCGCTTGCTGCCAGGCTACCACAAGACTGGCTTCATGAAGGTGCGTGTCTCTCTAAATCCGGGAACGCCCAAAATCACAGTTTCCCGTCAGCTTCCCTGTCAAACCGCAAGGGGCACTCTCAATCCTTCCATGTCCCCCTGTGCACTGATTGCTTCAGCCGGCATCAGCTATCACGGTTGCAAACGTTGTTGCTTTAGAAGCTGTCCAGATTTGGATCGCGCACTCAAACACTCGCCCGTGCCATAACACCGCTGCCTCTTTTGTTGGAATGTGGCCACGGCCTACCGCATGCTCCTGCCACTTTGGTCCTTATAGACGTTTGACGTTTGCCTTGGAGAGCAATTTCCGGACACATATGCAGCTACAGTTGGTTCCCCACTACCCCCAAGCCACTACATGGAATGCACATTCAGTTGTATAGCCTTTACACAAAGGGTGTACATCGAGGTTTCCCTTGGCACGCGGTCTTCCCAATACCCACAAAAACCAACCACACACACCCAAGCCAACCTCCCAACCCACCCACGGGCCTAGTAGGCACTGGCACTTCCACCTCCTCCTTTTCTTTCTCCGCCCCCTGGTGGGTCGGACCCCAAGCAACGACCAAAAAAACAGAAACACGTTTGTGTTGTGGGGGGGGGCCGTTAATGATGTTTGCTGACTTTTTGGCAGAGTCGTGGTTGGTGGGGCATGGAGGGTGCTCAAGGGCTCCTGACGCGTGGGGAGGTTCCTTGGGCGAAGTTTTGAAGAAAACTAAGTGACAAAACGGAACTGATCCATTCTTGAAACTGAGTTGCCGCCAAGGTATGTCATGTCCATCAGGGCACTTCTGCCCGTTGTTCTGCTTGCTTGCTTCTTTGCTTTCTATTGTGCCCATATCTGCACATACGCAACTTTCCGAAAAAAGCTTCGAACAACTGGAATCAAGTTCTCCCGGACAAGTGCCAACAACAATAGAGCATCTTTCCAACAAATATGCTCAGTTGCCAAGCACGCACGTGCTACTGTGGATAGACGAAATCCATTTCGCACCACCTAAGATACCCTGAAATGATACGATTCCCACTGTAAATACCGACGCGCGCTAAGGTTTCCATGGATTTATTTCGGTGGCGCGAACTGGATTTCGGTGAACCATCCCACAGTTCAGATCAGTTCTGTCGACCCCAGGAGCCAGGCAAATGGCCGGCAAATCTTGGGGACCCACAAATTAATCTGTTTTTGGACCAACTTTGGTCTTAAACGGAGGTCGAAAAACCGATGTGTGGTTGAAAAAAACCGTAACAGGGTCCCCCAGCTTCCCCGTACTTGGGGGTTTGGATTGGTGGGTTCTTTTGAAACCAAATGGGGGCGGTAGCCCCTAACGTTCAGACCACCAAACCCAAGCTGAATGTTATGACCTCATGCAAAAAAACACATGATAAACAACACACACACTTACCCACAAAAGTTTGATCTATGGCATCTGGCTTGAGAGGGCGGGTTAGGGTTTAGGTCTTGGAGGTGTCCTGTTGGAAAATAATGGCCCGGATAGTGTGAAACAACCAGGTGAACCAGGGCCATCGAACTTTAACAAACTAACATACAAAAGGACACCTATGGCCTAGGGTATGAGTTTGGTTTGCTGAGGCAGGAAATAAATAGCTGGCTCTCACTATTACGTTTCGAACTCCGTTCGCGCGCAGCAAGGAAAAGGATTCGGTTTCTCAGAATCCCTCAAAACATTGGCCCTGTGAAGCAATTTGTCATTTCCTGCAGGGCGTCACCCCAGACCCGCTGCATAGCTGCCGGCCAGCCCCAGCTTACGACGCGCCTCGTGAGCATATCGCCGCGCGTACCACCAAATGCCCAGCAGCGGCACCACGCCTGCGAGCCGAGGCGGGCGTACACGCCGCTGTCAGCGCTCCGAGGCTAGAGCAAAGATACATGGAAGCCAACATAGGATCCCAACCATCCTTCCTTGTGGGAGAGTAGATGGCCCTGCTAGATTGTGAAACAACCAGGTCAACCCGGGCCATCCATTTCGACCAGAACAATCGAACATGACACCTACGGCACCGTAGCTAAAGGTTCCACCTGTTTTGGCGGGCTGCCATCCAGCGAGTCCGTTTCAGCCAGAAATCCGCCCCCTGTTTTGACTCTCCACAGATTCTTTGGAAAGTTAGGGGGGGAGGGGGGGCAGCCAGCCATTGATATTTATTTAGGTTCACATGGAACTCCAACTGCACCACTTCTTAGCAAAGCTGTTTTTGGTTGGGACCATGGCAAGTGGAAAACAAGACGCAATGTCCTACCCTGAGTGGATTGCGCCACAACAAGTCCAACCTTTTGTTTACCACTAAGACAGTCTTCCCAAAAAGTCCCAAGTCCGGGAACTTGTAAATGTTTTTCTCGTTTAGTGTCACAGTTTGGTCTACCCAAAACATACACCCCCCGCAGCCTTCATTTTGTTGCTGGACAAGTTGTTGGAAAGCAAGCTGTCGGGGTGGACAACCCAACCTATTGACGGAGCTGCGGGGACACCCATGAAGATTCCCGCTGTAGGAGCGTAGGGATGTGGCAAACTGGTGGCCTAAAAACCTGCTGTTTCCACAAGGTACGGTCGATTGCCTAGCATACCCACCACAATACGGTTTGAAAAGGCCCCCAAGCCAATGGCCCGTTTGCAATTCCGAGAGCCTCCCCTCCCCTCCCCCTCCTGCCATGGACACTCAAAGGCTAGTCGGTAGACTGAAACCAAAAAACAAATCCCCTCAACAAAAGGGTTGCTAACTAGACTCCATCCATCCCCCCCCTCTGCCCGACAGCTTCTCAGCTCCCGGCCGGCCACGAAGGAGGGCAAGAAGAGCCAAGTGACCGTCCCCAACGTGGAGATCCTCGGGTGCTTGGATGGATGGATGGATGGATGGATGGATGGATGGATGGATGGCTGGATGGATGGATGGATGGATGGCTGGATGGATGGATGAATGATGGATGGATGGATGGCTGGATGGATGGATGAATGATGGATGGATAAATGGATGGATGGATGAGTGGATGGATGGCTGGATGGATGGATGAATGATGGATGGATGGATAAATGGATGGATGGCTGGCTGGCTGGATGGATGGATGGATGGATGGATAAATGGATGGATGGATGGATGGATAAATGGATGGATGGATGGATGGATGGATGGATGGCTGGATGGATGGATGGCTGGCTGGATGGATGGCTGGCTGGATGGATGGATGAATGATGGATGGATAAATGGATGGATGGCTGGATGGATGGATGAAGGATGGATGGATGGATAAATGGATGGATGGATGAATGGATGGATGGCTGGATGGATGGATGAATGATGGATGGATGGATAAATGGATGGATGGATGGATGGCTGGATGGATGGATGGCTGGCTGGATGGATGGCTGGCTGGATGAATGATGGATGGATGGATAAATGGATGGATGGATGGTGGATGGATGGCTGGATGGCTGGCTGGATGGATGGCTGGCTGGATGGATGGCTGGATGGATGAATGGATGGATGGATGGATAAATGGATGGATGGATGGATGGATGGATGGATGGATGGCTGGATGGCTGGCTGGATGGCTGGCTGGCTGGATGGATGGCTGGATGGATGAATGGATGGATGGATAAATGGATGGATGGATGGATGGATGGATGGCTGGATGGATGGATGGCTGGCTGGATGGATGACTGGCTGGATGGATGGCTGGATGGATGGATGGATGAATGGATGGCACCAGTCGGGTCGGGTGCATGGGCCTAACGCCCCATCCATGGGCAGGGGAGACATCCAGGTGGCGAAAGGAAGGCCGCAAACCAAAAAAAACAATCAACCCAAAAAATACGCACCCACACACACACACGACACACACAGAAAAAAAATATATATATATACACCCACTGTTTTCATTTGCAAATTTGGGCCCAGAGCACTTGTGCTGGATCCAGAGCATGGTGGTGGTCACGTCCCCCACCGGGCTCCAAGCGCCACCGGCGTTGGCAGCCACCACCACCAGGCCCCCGCAGCTGTGGCGCCAGAGCCGGTTGTGCGGCACCACGCGCTGCAAGATCTTCACGCAAACGATGGTGGCCTCTGAGGCGAAACTTCGTCCCTCGAATTCGCGGGTTGGATTGGTTGGAGGCGAAGAGCGGTGGCGGTTTGGAACAAGCCACCAATCCAAACAATTTGCAGTCTATGGAGCCCGAAAATAAAAACACCATGTAGAGAATCTCTATGGAAAATCGGACCGCTTTTAAATTTACGGGGAAGTACACTCAAGACCTTACCGGTTTTAGAATTGTGTTTCATTTGTTTCTTCTCTTACAGTCAAACAAGGCCTGCACATGTTGGAAGGGTGTCGGTCTCTCCCACGCTCCACTTCACTAGAGAAGAGCAACACTCCCCAGGAGAGCTTTTGAGTTCCTACAAGTTTGACTGCCGTTGAGGCTGTAAAAACAAACATCGCCGCCGGATATATAGCATGCGCAGCACGTAACATTCCCCTTGCACACCGCTCCAAACTGCTCCACATCGCAGAGGCAGGCGGCTGCCCAGGGATAGCAACTCAAGAATCCATGCCATGTTGCAACAAACTTAGCCTTTTAAAAGGAAAGGACATTGTAAGTAGCAGCTGTCCTTTACAAGCAACGCAACTGTCCTTGCAAGCAACGCAAAATCCGGTCCAAACATTGCGGTTTTGGGCCTGTTAAACAAATTCAATGAAAAGCGGCCTGGGCAAACCCAATTCAGACCCTGTTGCTGAAGCCAAGTCTTGCCAGCTCACCAAACATGTGAAGCGTCGGTCTGCAATTTATCTGACATCTAGATTTGTTGGATGCCACCGTAAAAAAAATACAGGATTCGGCATGCAAAGCGTGTCCTGGATGACCGACTCGACCCCCCCCCACCCCAATGTAAAAAATGGGAACCCTTTTAATAGGGTTGATTGTGAACAACCGATGGAATCCCCAACCTGCGCTCCTTTAGCGGGGATGACCCACAAGTTGTTGTTGTCGTAGTTGTAGTTGTAGTAGTGCTAGCAGGTGCAGTAGGCGCAGTTGTCGTAGTAGCAGTAGTCTTAGTAGTAGTCCTAGTAGTACTGTAGCAGTAGTGGTAGCATTCGCGTCTGTAGCAGTACGAAGTAGTAGCAACTGGTAGTAGTAGTAGTAGTACGAGGAGGAGTAGTAGCAGTAGTAACAGTTGTAGTAGCATTGGTGGTAGGAGTAGTTGTAGGAGCAGTAGCAGTAGCAGTAGCAGTAGCAGTAGTAGTAGTAGTAGTAGTAGAAAGAGTAGTGGTAGTGGTAGAGGTGATAGCTTGAACCAAACGTTAGCCTCGATTTCTGTGGAAGTTAAAAACTAGCCTAGAATCATGTAACAAACCCGTCGCTGTTAATGTATATATTCATGTTGCTGCAAAGAAACAAGTGGAAGAACAATGCGTGTAAGCTGCAGCATGTGCCACGTAATTAACCGGCCTGGGCAGACATGATAGGCGCAGAATCAGGTGGTAAGCCGTCAATGTGCGCGTTTTGTTGAATCGTCTTGTCATCATTGTGGGGGCGCCTGCCCTCACCAGGCCAACATGATAAGTCCTAAGCAGCTACTGTAGACATGTTCGGAAGCTAAACGCGCTAAACACGTCGCTGGTAAGCCTGTATAGGCATGCATTCACAGGAGCAACTTGAACCAGTCACGATCAGTAGCAACTGCCGGAAATGCAGCCGCAATCCCTACGGTTCCTAGGCTGCAAACCCTCCTGTGTGTGTGTGTGTATGTTTGGTGTGTGTGTGTGATGTGCGTGTGTGTGCGTGTGTTTGAGTTTGTGTGTGGTTGTGTGTGTGTGTGTGTTTGTGTGTTTGTGTGTGTGTTTGTGTTTCTGTGTGTGTGCTTTGTTTGCGTGTTTGTGTTTGTGTGTTTGTGTGCGTGTGTGTTTGTGTGTTTGTGTGTTTGTGTGTGTTTGTGTGTGTTTGTGTGTGTTTGTGTGTGTGTTTTTTTGTGTGTGTGTGTGTGTTTGCGTGTTTGCGTGTTTGTGTGTTTGCGTGTTAACGTGTTTGCGTGTTTTGCGTGTTTTCCGGTTTTGCGGGTTTGCGTGTTTGCGTGTTTGTGTGTTTGCAAGTTTGGGTGATTGTGTGTTTGTGTGTTTGTGTGTTTGTGTTTGTGTGTTTGTGTGTTTGTGTGTTTGTGTTTGTGTGTGTTTGTGTGTGTGTTTGTGTGTGTGTGTGTGTGTTTGTGTGTGTGTGTGTGTGTTTGTGTGTGTTTGTGTGTGTGTGTTTGTGTGTTTGCGTGTTTGCGTGTTTGTGTGTTTGTGTGTTTGCGTGTTTGCGTGTTAACGTGTTTGCGTGTTGACGTGTTTGCGTGTTTTGCGTGTTTGCGTGTTTGCGTGTTTGCGTGTCTGCGTGTGTGTGTGCGTGTTTTGCGTGTTTTGCGTGTTTGCGTGTTTGCGTGTCTGCGTGTTTGCGTGTTTAGTGCTTGGGTATTTGTGTGTTTGCGTGCTTGTGTGTTTGTGTGTTTGTGTTTGTGTGTATTTGTGTGTGTTTGTGTTTGTGTGTATTTGTGTGTGTGTGTGTGTTTGTGTGTGTTTGTGTGTTTTTGTGTGTTTTTGTGTGTGTTTGTGTTTGTATGTGTGTGTGTGTGTTTGTATGTGTGTTTGTGCGTGTGTGTGTGTATGCGTGTGTGTGTGTGTTTATGTGAGTGTGTGTGTGTGTTTGTTTGTTTGTGTGTGTTTTTGGTGTGTGTGTGTGTGTTTGTGTGTGTGTGTGTGTTTGTGTGTTTGTTTGTTTGTGTGTTTGTTTGTGTTTGTTTGTGTTTGTGTGTGTGTGTGTTTGTGTGTGTGCGTGTGTGCGTGCGCGTGCGTGCGTGCGTGCGCGTGCTTGCGTGCGTGCGTGCGTGCGTGCGTGCGTGCGTGCGTGCGTGCGTGCGTGCGTGCGTGCGTGCGTGCCTGCGTGCGTGCATGTGTGTGCGTGCGTGCGTGCGTGCGTGCGTGCGTGCGTGCGTGCGTGCGTGCGTGGGTGGGTGGGTGGGTGGGTGGGTGGGTGGGTGGGTGGGTGGGTGTGTGTGTGTGTGTGTGTGTTTGTGTGTCTTTGTGTGTGTGTGTGTCTGTGTGTGTGTGTGCATGCGGGCGTGCGTGCGCGCGTGAAGGTGTGTGTGTGCGCGCGTGCGTGCGTGCGAGCGCGTGCGTGCGTGCGTGACAGGAAAGTAGGTTTTAATCTTGATGCTCTTCATGATTCGCCCGTGCAACGTCGCCCAAAAAACATTTAGACTAAGTCTTGATTGCTGGGGAGTATCAGATACTGACCTCCTATTTCTTAACGTCGTTCATGCAGTTGACACCAAGATTGACCAGACATGTCCTTGTTCACGGCCACGGGAGAGTTAGTGAGGTTATGGCTGCCAAGCGCATGGCAACGCAACCCTTGATTGATGAGATTGTGGGGAAGGCCTCTTGGCTTCGCCAAATACATGGCTACTACACCTCCTCCTACTACTACTACTACTACTACTACTACCGCTACCGCGACTACTACTCCCTCCACTCCTACTACTGCTACCACTCCTACTCCTACGACCTAAGCCAATAATCATTATCCTCTATAAATAGGGGGCCTGTCATTTTGTGCATGTTCGGACATACGTTGCAAAGAACAAAAAACAAGCTTTCTGATTGGCTTGGCCACAAGCTGTTGTATGTCACTCATGCTTGCCCGTCTTTGAATGAGCATGAGTGGGCTGGACTTTCATGAATTGTTGGAAGTGTAGCTGCCCTGGGGGCAGTAGTAGCTGAAGCAGCAGTAGTAGCACTAGAACTAGTAGCAGCAGCAGCAGCAGCAGCAGCAGCAGTAGTAGTAGTAGTAGTATAGTAGTAGTAGAAGTAGCGGTAGCGCAGTCGCAGCGTTGTCATCGGCCAGCTCGCGAAACGCAGGCGAGAGGCTAGCAACTCGGCACGTGCGCGCGCAGAAAGGCCGCGAGCGACATGCTTGTCCACAACCGTCCAGGCGCGGAATACACGCGCTGCGCATGTCTGAAAGCTATATGACTGACCAAACGGAGGGCTGCTCAAAACCACGCGGATCATCTGTTTGCCCACCAGGTCACGCAGTCCAGTGGGCATAACTTCAAGATTACGTTGGCCGCAGACAAGGATGAATTTGGCAAAAGTCTCCGGGCAATTGCCTTGGTAGAAGGGAATGACGTACCGGCCACAAAGCAATTGTCTTGAACGAATCCCCTAGCCGCCGGCTTGTGGATATGGGAGCCTGTGTCTATATTGACACACCGGGGATAACTACAACAAGCCAATTTCAACACCGTTCCATTGGGGTTGAATTAGTGGGACACTTGTGCGAATATTTGCTTGGGGCGTGAGACTAAGCACGGTAGGGATTCTCACTAAGCGAAATCAAAGGAGAGAACCCTTTGTGAGCATATGACTATGGAGCAAAAGGCAAAAACATTTAACCAAACCCCGGTGGATTCCACAGAGCAAAAAAAAGCACCAAATAGTTGAAGCACCTGCTCAACTACCGAGTCCGAGTCGCGGTGAGGTTGTCGATGACCGAGCTTAGGAAGAAAGCAAGAAAGAAAATCATCGGCATTAAGCGGCCGGCGCTGTCCTTCCTCAGATGCGCCGTGCTCCAAATATGCGGCTCCCGCAAAGGACGTCGCACCATTGGCTCAGGTGGAACATCCCCCACTCATAAGGGGTGGGGGACCTAGACAATGCATACCCCCTCGCAAATGGGGCAGCTTTAATGTCCACGCTTGTGCCAGGTGATACCTCAAACCCACCAACGGGATCCCCAACATTGGAAGGTGGTGGTTGGGTGGTTGCTTGGTTGTTTGGCTGGCTGGTTGCGACTCCGAGCAAGACACATGAACCACCATTTCGGCTGATGAGGAAACACGCCGGAGCAAGAGTGTGTGTGTGTGCTGCGCAATAGACCTTGGCAGAAAAAAACAAGACGAACTAAAGTTTGAACCAACAGCGCCCGAAGAGCCTCCCATTGAGCTACTATAACCAGACAGGCATTCTTTCTTGGGCGCGCACATCTGCCGAACAGAGGTTCCCACACACACACACAAGCAAGGGACACGTCAGACAAACCAGCCTCTGAGACTAGCCCAGACTCGCCTCAGGCCCAGCCCAACAGCAACCACCCAAGCAAAGCTCAGCCGATCCAGCCATGCCCCGGCAAACGTCACCCAACCCAGCTGACATCCGGCTGCGATCCGGCTGCGGTCCGGCCGCGATCCGGTCGTGATCCGACAACCATCAGGCCGCGTTCCGGCCGCGATCCAGCCAAGATAACAATGATTTCGCCGGTGGGAACGTCGTCGCCAGTGTGTACCAAAGCTGCTACTGGCCGCGGCGCGTAAGCGGATTTGCCAGCCCGTCGACGGATGTTTTGATGAAATCTGCCCGCGCGGCCAAGAAACTGCTTCTGGCCGCGGGGCGTAAGCGGATTATGCCCCGAAAGTGCACGCTGAGGCAGGCGTCAACATGCCAGGTGCAGCTTTCCACATCCTCGGCGCAGCTCTTCAATAGGCGGGGCACAGTGCGGCTGTCAACACCCCACGCCTTTCGCATCCCATCAACTTTCAGAGCTGTCAACAGCCCAGGCACAGTGCGCAACCACCCAGGCGCAGCTGTCCACACCCAGGCACAGCAGGCAACCGCCAATCAAAGCGAGCAACCGCTCGACATCCCAAACATTGCTGTCAACAGCCCAGGCCAAGCTTTCAGTATAGCCGAGGCACCGCGATCAACATCCCAGCTTTCAACATCCCAGGCACAGCGGGCAACCGCCAGCCAAAGCGAGTCACGGACATGCCAAGCTTTCAATAGCCAAGGACATCCCGGGCGCAGCTTTCAACATCCCAGGCACAGCTTTCAATGGTCCAGGCGCAGCTTCAACTGCGCAGGCACAGCATTCAACATGCCGGGCATGGCCTGCAAAGACGCACGCTTTAAAATGCATAAAGCAAAAATGCACGGGGTACTTGGGCATTTTCTGAAATTGGGGATGGTGGAACCATTTGCGGGTTCTCCATGTGAGCAGTGAAAAAAAAACCCTGTTACCCGTAAAGGAAATTACTTCAGCTTTCGCAATCGCTTGCGGAAAGCTTCCGCCAACCGAAAGGTCGCTTACGTTTGCTATTTTTCGAAGATGGAGCTTACGCATAGCTTACGACAAGTTGCTCGTGCCTGATCCTCGATGAGCAACAGGCGCTAGCATGACAAAGCAACATCTTGCAGATGGAAAGGCTGCTGCGCAGGCCCAGCAAGACAATGGAGGGCCAAAAGCTGAAAACAAACTTTCGGGGCACGAAAAGTTGTTTTCTGCAGAAAGCGCGCGGAACCTCTGCGAGCAAGAGGCGCCGGCAGGACAGAGCAACAACTTGCCTGGAAAGGCGCACAGGCTTTGCTGCACAGGCTCAGCAGTGACGTGGAGGGGAAAACTTTTGGGGACCCGAAAAGTTGTTTTCTGCGAGGATCCACTACGAGCAAGAGGCGCCAGCATGACAGAGCAACAGCTTGCACGGAAAGGTGCAAAGGCTTTACCGCGCAAGCTCAGCATTGACGTGGGCACACTAGGGATTGAACCCGGGCCTGCCGCATGCGGAGCGGGTGTGATACCACTACACCATGTGATCCTGTTGTTGCTGCCCGAAGCCGGTGTTAAAGCTTTCACGGCCAGAGAGGGGCAACAGCTCAAGAAAACTTTGCAGACAGCGCACGGGCGCTGCGAGCAAGAGGTGCCAGCACGGCAGAACAACAGCTTGCAGCATGGAATGCTGCGGGTCCTCTGAAAGGCGCAAAGGCTTTGCTGCACAGGCGCAGCAGTGACATAGAGGGGGAAAACTTTTGGGGGCCCGAAAAGTTGTTTTCTAAGTTTTTGTTCCAGCCCGCGCCGCGAGCTTTTTTTGGCTTCGGGGCCCTGAAAAGTGCCTGCAGGTGGCAAAAGGTGCCTCGCAACAAAAAAAACTTTTCTGGGCTCGAAAAGTTGTTTGTGCTTTCCAAGCCCAAGGCCCAAAGGTGAAAAGGCAAATCCGCAGCAAAACAAGCGGGGCTCAACATGTTGTTTTCCAAGCCCGCGCAACGAACAAGGTGAGGTGCCAAAACAAAACTTTCGGGGCTCGAAAAGTTGTTTTCCAAACGCGAGCTTTTTTGTTCAAGCTGGCCAACGCGCTGTGCGTGGAACATTGCAAAAGGTTTGCACAAGTAACCCAACAGTCAAACAGCAGTTGTCTGAGCCAGAAAAAGTTGTTCACTGAAAGAATCCCTTTCCTTGTTGCTCGGAAGAACCAATTCCAGCAATCTGATCCCATTTTCACGCCTAAAAGCATTACGCGGACCAAAAGCAACTTCTACCAAACAGTCTGAACGAAAAACGGATCTGACAAACAGAGCTTACGCAAAGCTTACGACGAGTGACTCATGCATGCAGCTTACGCAGGACCTTCCGATCGCTTACGAATCACGCAAAAACGCTTACGACTGCAAGAGTAATTTCCAGTTTCATCTAAATTGATCTACGGAGGTTTTTTTCGCCGCTCATGTGAAACCGGCAAATTCGAAAGGAGGTCCAACATGTCCAACGCATGGACGGCCTTTTGGAAAATTGATGGCCCTGGTAAATGGAATAATCCCCATCTAAACCAGGGCCCTCTATTTTTAAATCAAACCAACCAAAAAAGACACCTATGGAGTCCAACGTCGAACCCCTCTTTTTACCCGAAGCCAGCACATCACCTTGACTTCCGAGTCTCGTCGCCTGGATGAGGCGGGCAGTGACTGCCGCAAAGCCGTCCAAGTGATCAATCGACTCCACCAGTCCTGGGTGAGATGTCATCCCGAGGAAGTGGTGGAGTTTAGATAGATCCGATTTTTTTCTCTCTCTCTCTCTCTCTCGCTGCCCGTTGCGTCCAGAGGGTCTTGACTCAGCAACGGCAAAAGGCCCAACAACATAGTAGGACAGCCCGGGCAAACATCAAGTAAGAGCCAGAAGGATTCCATCTCAGCCGTAGATTCGATTGTATATCTTAATTCGTTAGATTTCCTGGGCGCTTCTGGATAAAACGTTTTATCCGATGGTGTGTCGAGTTCGAGGAGACCTTGGAAAATACTCTGGTACTTTGACGGACCTCCTTGGACAACCCAAAATCTGTGATACCAATGTGAGATTCCCACTCTGTCACATGTTACATGGTTCCCCGCCGCACAACAAGAAGAGGGCAACCTAAAGCTTGAACCGTGGTCCTGATCCAAATGGAGACGTGACTCGCTGACTCGCTGGTCCCATGAAATCCCTCCTGGATTCTGGTGTTCTGGGGCTTTTGTCAAAGTGCCCTTTGTGGGGTTCAAAAAACGCTTAGAACTGCGGCACCCTTTTCTGCAATCTATTTTAGTAGGGGAACCCTCCCCACTCAAAGGGTACAAGGGCACTACTGGGGGTCTAGAAAACAACCATTTTGTGGTTGGAACCCACATGGAGAACTCCATTGAGACTACGAAATATGCTCAAGCTACACCTTTTCCGGGAGTGAACCGGGCTCAACACAACATGGCCCACAACGTTCCCCCCAAACAAAGTCGGAGGTGTCACATCAAGCTGCCCATGGGCAAAAACATGGCACCTGTTTTTTTTTTTTTGGTTGGTTGACTTTAAAGGGAAAACCTGTCCCAACAAAGAGCATCACTCCCCACTGGGCGTGTCACTAGGCAAGCTGCCCATGGCGGGCAGCAAGAAGAGCAGCACGCTGCCCACGTCTTCCAAGGCTTTGCCCAACTCCTTGTGGTATTGCTCCTGCGATCCCCCCTGCCATAAGGGGGAGGGGGGTGGGGTGGTGTTATCTAGTCTTCCCCTTACAAAGGAAATCGAACCATAAATGGAATTCCAGGGGTCCCCCCCTCCCCCAATTCCATATCTAAGGGGGTGGGGATCGCCTGCGCCACCCACCGCGCCACCCCGAACTCAACCCGGAGCCGGGGGTGTCAACCAAGCTTGGGACGTGGTTTGGGGTCTTGTGTGGCTTCCCTTCAAAGGCATTGCTTCAGTTTGGGAAACCCAAGTCACGTCCTAAGATATGCGTTATCATGTGTGAAAAGTGAGGGTGTCGATACTCCCACATGGTCTTCTATTTGTACAGTTTGATTTGACAAGCAAGCATGGCACGTGCAAGATTCAACACTGGCAACACCGGCAATGAATGGTAGCTTTATTGTCACTTAAAATCAAGAGTTGTTCTTACACTATAGCAATGTCGAGACTTCTTATTAGGTCTTATTGAAACTAGCCTGATGAACAAGATTCTAAAAGTTAATCTTCGCATATACCCTCCCACGTGCCCGGTCCACTTCTTCCAAGGGCCCCGAAACCCTGACGAGACCTGGTTTGACTGCTGCGGTGTTGTCGGT